AAGTTAAATTTAAAAAATAATCAATTTTTAAATGGACTAAAAAAGTAAATCAATATATAACATACTCAGTGGCAAGGGGCCTGAGACTAATAATTATGTGGGGCTTTTATAAAGTAAATTAATATAATTTACTTTATAAAGGCCCTGGACGTTGCTACATTTGTTGTTATTTTTATCAGTTGTTCATTGTTTGTTTTAGACTAAAATATTATATAGAATTCCAAAATTAAGTTAGTTCATAGGTTTTTTTTGACATCGTTTTTCTCGCTTTCTTTATAGCAAATGTTTCTACCACTTCATCGAAAATTATTTCATTTAAAATTTCACGCTCAATTGAAATTAGTGACAGAATATTTAGTCTATTATGTGTCATTGTTGATCACAGTTCATTCTTAATTCCACTCAGATTAGAAAAACTTCTTTTTCCTGTACAATAGGACACCATCAGACTCAAAAAAATACGAAATTAAATTTTGACATTGAGAAATGCTTCCTTCAGTCCATGGTCTATTATCAAACTGTAAATAAATAACTCTTTACGGCAATCTTCGTCCTTACACTGTTCTGCAAATTTGGTGAATTAAACATTAGATCGGCGGAAAAATAAACTATTTTATTTTTTAAACTTATTTCAATGTCTTCACTGTAAGCCAACCTGACCATTTAAAATTGTTCCTTTATTGTATTAGGTGATAAATTAATAAAATTGGTCGAAAAACCAAATTTGCCACAAACAGCAGAATACGCGTCTGCAGGTTGAATGAGGGCATTAATAAGTTTGTCGAGAATGGGGAGAAATACTTTTTTCTAAATTCGGTCTGACCCTAGTGTACAGGGCATTCACGTTTGACTAATCTTTTGTTGAACTGAACTTTCCTTTTTTTTTTCTCCTTCTATTTTTTTTACAAACATTTATTTTATTTATCATCATGTCTTGCTCCTCAAATAAGGTAAATTCTGTGCGGAGTGATTCTATAAAACTTTTCAAGAAATCCAACAAAAGTGCAGCTGTATTTATATTCAGTGTAGAGCTCTACACAAGGTTGCTAGTTTTATTCATTTTCTGAAGAATTGAATCCCAAAGCGCATTAAAAGTTCCAGTTTCTAGCATATTAAACCGATTTAATGAACCAACAGCTTCCTGCCTAGTTACAATTTTCTTTTCGTTATCTTTTGAAATTGCACTAAAAACTGATCAAAAGTTCTTGTAGCCTTTTGAAAGTTGCATTAGCATGCATAAGCATAACTGGACCAACGTGTATCAAAAAGTCGTTTTGGTACCAGTACGTGTATACTCAAAATGACGAGAAGAATATGCCAGCAATATATTGATGCACTGAAAAACGTGAATACATTTTAATCAAAATGAAAATATTTTACAGCAGCGGACAACAATCAACAGCACTGTTTCCTTCTAAATGTAATAAATGTGAAAAACACGGAATAAACATAGCTAGTGGATTTACCGTTTGAATATTTGCTCGAACTCCATTTTATTAATCAGATATATTTAGGAAATTTTCATCGGTCTCCCTTACAAAAAAACCCAGCATGCTTCCAGCGGAAGTTTGCTGGAAATTTAAAAGGTCACTGGATATTCACTTAGATCACTGGGTTTAAAACAAAGTTTGCTAGACTTCCTTGGAAACAAAAGACTTTGATGTATATATATATATATATATATATATATATATATATATATATATATATATATATATATATATATATATATATATATATATATATATATATATATATATATATATATATATACATGTATATATATATATATATATATATATATATATATATATATATATATATATATATATATATATATATATATATATATATATATATATATATATATATATATATATATATATATATATATATATATATATATATATATATATATATATATATATATATATATATATATATATATATATATATATATATATATATATATATATATATATATAAACATTATTCTGAATGTAGGACTCGATCCCGGATCATTGTGAGATATAAACAAATGAGATTTTATAATGCTAAACGCACAATTTAAAATTAGTATTAACAAAACTTTCAAAATAAACCAATTTTAATCGCAGCCGTGACTTAAAATAAACCAATCAAACTTTACTACCGTGGCTTTAAGATAAAAAGTTAGAGAAACGGTATCGTTGCGCTAGACACAACGTAACATAAAATTGTATCTTTTGTACGTAACTATTTCTTTGTAACATAATATCTCTCATATTTAAATACTCTTTAAAATTCTTTTGTTTGGCTGAGTTTAAAATAGCGTGGGTTACTGTTATAATTTACAGCCTAATTTACAATTTTAAGTTTAAGTTGCAGTTACCGTGTAATAAGCAAGTAACGTATTTATTATTATTAAGATATTAGGATGGACCGGGGAGATTTCGCTACGAGGGCGATTTCGTCACTTTTAACATTTCAAGAAAAAGATGCTTTTCTGGCATTACACCATATTAAGACGGTGTAAAATATTTATCAGTTTAAAATTATAACTTTTTAACTATTGATTGATCATAGTTGCCGTCTAATTTGATTGCTTGTTGTAATGTTTAAAAAGACTTGCTGTTTAATGTTTCTAATTGATATTAATGTGTCACTCTTCATCCAAGTGGCATTATTAATAATTTTGTGAAATTTGATTGAAACTACGTTTGAGAATAACTGCTAAGGTGAGAGCTTCATAAGTTTGTTAAAACTTTTTAACTGGCTTTTGTGGTATATATTTTAAGTTGGCTTTTGTCCAAGTAGAATATTGTGATGGTGATTTCGCCACAGAATAATAAAGTAGTCCAACAGTTTTAAAATATATATAATGTATAATATTTTTGTTTTCTAAACAATATTTAATAATATATTTACAATTTCATAAAATTATCAGACATATATCAGGAATTACAGTATGATGAATTTATTAGAAGTATTTTGAAGATATAACGAATTAATAGTTTTTAGATACACATTTAAAGCTAAAGTACTTTATAATTTAACTTAAAATTAGTTTTCTAAAATTCTCCTATAATTTTGTATTTGAAAATGTTTTTTGTTCAAAATGCCTTTCATATATTCGAACTTCTCATCATTAAATGCTGACCATCGCTGATTGTTTTTAGCCACTATATTGATTAGCTTGTTTAAAATACACCATTATAAAATCCAAGCATCGATATTTAATAAGATACTTATTATGCCAATTGGTAACAACTATCTTGTTACATTTTTATACTAAATGCCAAAATCTAAAACTTGCTGTGTATTACCCCTGCTTTAGATGGTACGCAAGTATCTGCCAAAGAAAAAGAAATCCTATAGTAATACCAACCTCCAATTGACTATTTAAGCTGTTAAAGATGGCAGTAAAATATTAACGACAACGATAACATTTGGAGTACCGACATTAACGCTCAAAAATAAGATAAATGGACGTTGACAATCAATTACTGTGGGAAGAAAAACAGTGTTTACAAAGCAAGAGGAACAAGCACTAGTAACCAGGCTTTTTTAAATAACAGATCGTGGATTTCCATTAACAACAAAACGGCTAATGTATAATGCTTATTAATAAGCTAAAAAATTACATTATTGTTAATTACTTCGAAAAGATTTGCCCACTACATGGCATAAATCTCACTTAGATTACTCACTTATATAAAAAATAGAAAATGGTTGGGCAAGGTAAAAAGTTTTTTTTTGCCCAATAAAATAAAAACATATGGCTTAATAAAAAAGGAAATCTCATAGTTTAAAATCATTATTAAATCAAATGCTACCGAGTACATCAAAAGCTTATAACAGAAACAACAAAAAACAACTCACTGCTGTGTGTTCGGTGCGGCATGGATGGATTCATCAGAAGACTGGCTCCAATACGTTTCTTGTCTTATATGGATATGTGAAGTCAGCTTTTGCATCAACATGTGTACATAATGTGCTTAATTCAACAAAATATAATAAATCTTTAACTCTTTTTAGATCGGCGAAATCGCCCCATATACGTGTGTAATACAAATCGGTGTTTTTTGTTTTTTTTTTTATGTTGATTTTAGGTGCCCCAAGAAGTCCTTACGGTCTTATCACAGAGCACCGCGGAAGAGCATTTAATAGGAAGTTCACGCTTCCTTCCCAACCGATGTCGCAAAACTTGCCCAGAGGTGGGGTTTGAACCACGGATCTTACGTTTCTGAGGCAAGTGTGCTGTTCATAAGTATAAATATTTTTTTTTCGAATTTTTAAACGTGGTCGAACTAAATAAAGTTTATTGAATATAGTTCAGATAATGGTATACGAAAAAAGCGTATCAGGTTGACCAGACAATATTAAAGCGGCAAAAGTAGCAAAATCGCCCCCGTCTACCCGACTTTTAGTAACTGTTTTTATTTAACATATTTAAAAAAGTAAAAGTAAAAAACTAAGAGTAAAAAGCAAACATTATAATATTTAAACCATTTTAATTAGTCATAGAAAACTATATAATACGTTCATGCTGACAATAAAAACCTGTTACCCAGCGGGCACGGGTACGTTCATTGTACGTACAAAAGACGTCCGGACGGAACGTACAATTTTAGTCCAGAATCGGTTTAGGATGGAAATACTGATGTACGTCCAATTTGAACGTACAATGTACGTCCAAATTTGAACGTACAATGTACGTCCAAATTCAAACGTACTATTTCGGTTCAGGATGGAAATACTGATGTACGTCCAAATTTGAACGTACAATGTACGTCCAAATTTGGACGTACACTTTATGTCCAATTTAGACTTAAGAATTTAAATTAGAAATTGAAGGTATAGCTTATACTTAGAAATACCTAATTACAAGCCTATTCTGAACCAAAACTTATTCAAAAATGTATTTTTAAACTTTCCTTTTCTAAATACTTAGACACTATAAAAAATACTTAAAAATTACTTTAAAATACTTAGATTTAGTTTAAAATAAAAACGACTCATTAAAGATCATTGAGATTTATTGTTATAAAAATCTTGTTCATCTTCTGCTCTACAGCCACGCCCACCACCATCTTTTCTGTCGGGAGCACGTTTTAAAACGTTGCCAATAGCTTGGTGCAATTCATTTAATTTGTACTTTGGCATGCTTTCTAAAATAACAAAAATTTAAATATTAAATATTTTTAATTGATGATGTTCGATTTTTAAGCAAATTAGGCTTTTTACAAATTATTCATTAAATAACTTTAAATATATAGCTCATTGTCTACTAACAAGGAGCTAATAGGTTGCTTCACCATTTAACCTGACAAAACAATGCTTTTTTACTTTATACTAAATTAGATCCATTTATTTAGTTACAATTTATACCAATATATTTATAATATAATTTATACCAATAAAACTATGAACGTTTCATTTCAATTAAATAAACTCATTCCTTAAAAAAATGTTTTAGTAGAAAACAACCTACCCACAATGAATCTGAATACTTTTGTTTTTATGAATGATTTTTTATTTTTTCCATTCATGTTGTAACATGCCATCAACTTGTTTGTCATGAGTTTAAAATAAAAAAATTACTTTGTTTTGAAACAAATTTGACTTTACTGAAATGTTCAACAGAATTTCAGCATGTCAGTTTACCAGTTTTATTCTTCTCTAACAAACTTACTTAGAAAGTATGGCTTTGACATTTGCATGACACGAATTTCCACCAACCATTGTTAACTGTCTTTTCTAAAATCAAAATAATGTTATATCAATATATCTCTCTATATCTATATATATACTCATATATCTATATATACAAGTGTATGGCCTGCAAGGTTGTAAACATGGATGTAAAATTTAACAACAAAAAGAACCTTATAAGTTAACCGTTGGGTATGCAAAAAAGTTTATTAATACATGTTTTACTTACTAAAAGTAGACATTTTGCAACATCAGAAAGTTCATCATCAAAAACCTGAAACTCCTCTAAATTATCGAACTTCTGCACATGATATGAAGAATGTTCAGGTTCCTGTGTCGATATCTTGCACTGCTCCTCAAGAATTTGAGTGAGCAAATGAATTACTTTATATTGAAATTCTAAAAATTTGGAAGGTGTATTAATTATTTACAAAACATACTTGAGCAATATTATAATGTAAAATGGGAAAATACCAGACTGAATTTGAAAATTAGTTTTAATTTACATTTTTTATGTATATAAAAAAATTCTTAGTAAAACTTGCTACACTTTATAGTAAAAACAAAACAATAAAAAATTAACAATAAATAAATTTACTAGTTTCAGGAAGAGGAAATTTAGATATCGAGGTTTTAGTAAATTGAGTTGCTTTTACTGGTGGCATTGTAACTTGTTTGGAGGAAGATGGTAGGTTTACTGAACTTGAAGTCATTTGTAGGAACTTACTTACAGGGATTTTAGAATATGTATTATCTGTAGATTTTACTACAGACGATACAAATTGTGATTGACAGGACTTAACAGCAGACGCTGAAAAGATAGAAGAAGTTTTGGAATCAGAAGATATTATTGCTGAACTCTTTGAAGTTTTGAAACCAAATGATTTTGAAACTGCTTGCTTAGAACGTGGCTCTGTAATAGCAAGAGGGGGACAACCAGGATTTGGAAAAGCAGAACAATGTGAAGATACATCGTAAGGGGATTGCGATCTAGCTCTAATAAACATGGGCTCTTCAGGACATACAGCTAAAATAAAATTTATCTTTAGTATATATATATATATATATATAATATATATGAATCTCTAACTTGAAAAAGGGAACATGTCCTCTTTTTCAAGTTATATATTATATATGATATTATTATTAAAATAAAAAATATATATTATATATAATATATATATATATATATATTGCCCATGGCACTTATTAACACAAAACACAATTAGTGAAAGTATGTTAAATCAATAAAAAAACAAAAGCAAAAAACATTCGTATTCTATGTATTGTTCTATATTTAATTCCTTTCTCATTTTTAAAGGTCAAATCACAAGTTTTGTCTATTTGCTTATTAGAATACGCTTCTGAATCGTCACTAGTGAAGTCAAATCCTTCACACACTGTTTTATCATCTAAATATTTTAATACTGCATGTGTAATTATTAATAAATAATTAAAGTAAACGTCTAAGCCTTTTACAAACAGTTACTACTTAAAACTGCCAATCAGTTAATTAGTAAAATAGTATTTGATACTTACTATGACGACATTTTTCCTTAAGGAGTGGAAAGGAAAATCAATCATTATGTGGTATTGCCTGCTGTTTACATGCTTTTAAAACATTGATACCATTGGGCCACCTCACAAACTGTTTTTCATTTACTGTTCCTTCAATCCAAACTGACGGGATTGTCAGCTCTTCTTTTGTTGATCCCTCCAACCATACTGCTCGGCACCAAGACATTTTAACTTTAAAGCAATAATAACTAAAGTTCAAAATATATATTAAAAGTAGCAATAAGTTATAATATTTGTATTTGTGTGAATATATTTAAATACCCTCAACAAAGTGCTTCCTTACATATGCAATGAAAACAAAAATTTAAATTTTATTGATATAGAATTAAAAAATGATCACGAATTGAAATATAATTTTATAAAATTGTAATTGTTTAAATACAATAACACATTTAAATAAATAATTTATATAAATAAACACAGTTTAAATACTTTGCACAAGATTTTCAAATACCTTGTATTTAAAGTATTAAAAGTTGGACATTAATTAAGCATATGAAACATAAAAACCCCTTGAGTGTTAACTATTTATTAAGGAAGCTAATATATATACATACAAAAATCCTATCAACCTATCTGTAACACTGAAATAGTTAGTATTAGGCTCAATTTTTCTTTTTATCAATTATATAAATGATGAATATGCTAAACTCAAAGCAACATTAAATTTTTAAATAATTTTTTTTTAAATTATAATATATGTATATATAAACAATAAAAAGTGTGGAAAATAAATGCAGCAAAATAAACTCGCAGAAAAATTATTCTATTTCTCATCATTATGCAGTAATGGAAATATTGATAAGCCTCTTTTTTCTTCCAAACAAACACACTTCCTTTGAAAATCAGCAATTCTTAGAGTTTTCTCGACAACCTTATTAAAACTTATAGTTCGAAATAATAAAATACCAAATTTCATAGATGGAGCTGGAGAGTCAAATACATTTTCTAAATACATAGAACCGATAACATTACATTGAAATGTACCATCGCTATTATTAGCTTTAACAAATGCAATAGGAGAGTTGAGAAGCAAAAAACACCTATCTTTTCTGTTAGCAGAGATTTTACTTTCTAAATTTTTCTTAGGTAACCCTCTTAAAAAATTTGATAATCATGTTGCCGTTTTGAAACTTGAGAGATTGGATTAGATGAATTACGTATACTCTTTTTTATTCTTTGAAGAAAGTTTTCAAAAGGAAAGCAGGATATTCTGTTAAGAGAACATGAATTAGTTCGACAATCATCAACTAGGTGCAAAAGGTTATGAACATTGTAAACTGTGAATGTGTTACCATATATATACTTGGCTTGATGCACAAAATACTTTAATAAATTACATGCATAATCTAAATACGGAACACGTACACTATCATCATCTTGTAACAATATGGTCATGGCAAGACTTAGGGTTAAAAAATGTTCATACAACTCCTTTGAGACAATACCTCTTAATGCAACCGAGCCAGTATATAACAAAAATTGTCTGAACTCGGTTGCTTTCCACCTATCTAATTCCTTTAAACTTCGAGGTTGTCGTGCAAACTCACTAGGCATACATTCAGTAAAAGAAATCAATACTTGAGATATCTCTGAAATTTGAGCAGCAGATATTTTTCCACCAGGACCTTTTTTCAGATAATTTAACAAACGGCGCATTACACCTAAGCATACTAGATGCATATAGTCTAGTGTAAAAGAGTAAATACAATCAATACCAATTCCAATTAAAGGAGACCTATCATGCTGATGACCATCACAGTAGCCAAACTGTTCAAAATTATCTCTTAATTGAAAGATTCTTTCATGATTAAAAACAACTCTTCCTTCGTGTGTTCCTTGGATAGTACACCTTTCACAGGAATCATAACCTGTATGATTTTTTATGCACTTTAGAAAGGCCCTAGATGGTGCATCACAAATGAACGACTGAATCTCTATGCTTAGGTGGCGTCCATTAAACAAAATGCCATTCTGTCTTAAATGAATCCATTCATTGACAAAATCTAATAAATAGTCATTAACATTGTCGGGTTTATGATCTCCACAAAAGATAGCAATGATAAAAATATCAGAATTATCAAAACATGCAAGTATTGGCCACATGCACACACTTGATGATTTAAAAAGTGGAATTCCGTCTATATTTATTGATAGTTTGATGATATTATCGTCAAGTTTTTTTTTACTGAGGACACTTTCGATTCCCTTACATATTCCATAATATGCATAGTCACCGCCACATTTTCTTTCTGTTTTTATTTTTCTTGGAGTTTTTAAGAGAGTGCATCTTTAGGAAGAGAAGAATCATTTTCGCGAAGGATAGATAAAAGTTCGTTAACAGAAGAACGAGTCCAACGATTTCTAACTGCACATTGTGCCAGTTTTTTATTTAATAGTGGAATTTCAACCTCATCATCATAATCACTACTACTGTAAAGATATGGAATTTCATCTTCAGACTCATTACTGGTATTAGGATAATAATCATCGGTGAAGTATTCATCAGATAAAAATGTTAAAGGTTCCGACGTTTCATCGTTATCATTAGTTGCAAAATCAACAACATCATTTTCTTTTACAATTGTTTCATCTTCACTAGATGAATCTAAAAGAGTCTTTACTTTTCTATTAATTCTTTTCCATTTTCTTACATTTGACACCATTTTTAAAACATATACCTACTATATATTAACTTTAAGCCACGCTTTTGAAATATTATCAAAACTATGATTATAGTTGATAATAACGACAAATTTTATTTAGTATACGGCTTATCTAATAAAAAAATATTTAGTATAGTTGCTATTTAAGCACATATTATTTGAAGGTTCAGTTTTGGACGGACGGGTTTTGTACGTACATTGTATATTCAATGAACGTACTATTTAGGTACAAATTCTTAAAATTACGTATGAAGGTTCAGTTTTGGTTCACGGACGGACGGACGGACGCGTTTTGTACGTACATTGTACGTACAATGAACGTACTGTGCCCGCTGGGTATTTTTAAAGAGTGTTAATTGTTATTGTGAAAAGCGATCAAACAACAATAAAAAGCTGCAAAGTTGTTTTAAAAATATGAATAACTTATGTTATTTGTGTGCACAGTGTTATAAAATAGGTTCTAACCTTAACTTTCTGACCCGGGAAAACCCTTTGGCGGAATGATAGCCCTTACTATGGGGATCACTTAGATATAAGTATCAAAATCAGATTACAAAGTCCTGGCAAGTTATTTACATTTGAATTTTCATCCTAGTTAACACAAAACGTGTTTTAAACGTTTAATATACGTATTAATACGTATTAAAACGTATTATAAACGTGTTAAACACGTCTTGCGTTTAATAAAATACTTTATTGATTGCACAAATATGCAACATGAGCGCTTATTTTCCTTTTTGTAGTATTAAAAATCTCCAATTTACATAAATATAAACAAGGAAAGCAAAATAATATATTCTTGAAGTTATACAAGTAACAAACATAAAATATATTGATTGCACAAACATGCGGAATGACAGCTTATTTTGCATTTCTACATACCAAAACTATGATTAGTTTGTAAAAACTGCTTTAATTGATATGAAACGTATTTAATTATGACATAAATTATTTTGGAATAAATTTCTACTTTTGAATTCTGGGTAAAAGCACGTTGTTTTTACTTTACTAATGAGAGCTAAACTGAGCACATCTAATTTTACCGAAAATGCCAAATACTGCTAAAAACCACCAGAAATGCAGGAAATCTGTTTGTTTTCTTTGTTTTAGTAAAAGTCAACGAAAGCTAACATCAAATCTAAAAGAAAGATGTCAGATTATACTGAAAGAGAAAATCAACTTTAATGATGACAAAGTTCCACTTGGAATATGTGAAAAATGTCGCTCTTGTTTAAGAAGGAAGGAAAGTGGAGAAGACATCACACTCCCATCATTGTATAAGTTTGAGACTATAAAACTTCGACCAGAAACTCGAGACTCTCACTGTAACTGCTTGATCTGTTCAATTGGTAAACTGAGACACAATGGTCAAATGAAAATTGAATTCGCACAAAGTTCAGCAACTAGAACACCTTCTTTAACAGTAGAAAAAAGATTCAATTATTGGTCGAGGATTGCCTCACAACTGCACAAAAGGCACTTTGAGAAATAATCTTGTTGCTGTAGTAACAAAGGATCCTTTGGCATCAGAAAGAATTGCAGCTCTTGTTGTTTCAAATAAAGCTCCTTCTCCACATGGAACTGTTCGATTAATTCAACTTTATGGTGGAAGAATGCTTCCAGTAACACCAAGTATAAATTTTATATAGTTTTTTATAGTTCAAATTAATGATAAGTTAAATTTTTAACTTTTTGTATTCACTATAGGTTCGTCATCAGCTAGACAACTTTTCTCTTCAAATTCATCAATAAGTGTAAAAGACCTTGCTAAAGTTCAAGCAAACACAGGGCTTTCAAACAATGGCATTAAGAGGTTAGCAGCTACTATTAATCAGTCAACCTCACAACAGATTGTTGAAAAAAATTACGCCATAAAATTTGACAAATTCAGCAAGCAACTTGTACATCATTTCACAAGTTCATTAATTCAAGATCACGCTGGATGTGTGAGGACAGTCATACATTGCAAGAACTTCCATGATCTTAAAAATGAAATTATAGCCATGAGAAGTACATCAAAAAATCACATTGTAAAGGTTGGAATTGACGGAGGAGGTGGGTTTCTGAAAGTTACCCTGGGAATTATTGAATTAAATCATGAACCTTGCATTCCCCCAGCAAAAATCAACTGCACAAGCAAGGTTTTTAAGGACACTGGTGTAAAACAACAACTAGTCATTGCTTTCTGTGAGGAGCTTCAAGAAAGTTATACTAACGTTTTGCAAGTATTTGAGTTGATTAAATTGAAAGACCAGGAGTTTGTCATGTCCTGTGATCTAAAACTTGCTAATATAATTTGTGGGCTTCAAGCACACTCAAGTGCACATCCCTGCACCTGGTGTGAATCTGGTTCAAAAGAACTTGTAAATCAAGGGAAATTGAGGACTTTTGAATCTCTGGAAAAAAATGTCTCACTCTTCAAGTCAGCTGGTTCCAATATTAGAAAAGCTCGTGACTATAAAAATGTTGTTCATTCTCCAATATTTAAACTACCTGGAGACACTTTGGTTTTGAATTTTCTTCCTCCCATGGAATTGCATCTCTTAATTGGAGTTTTTAAGCT